AAAAAAAAATACAACTTAAACCTGTATGGCTTTTGGGTTTGTGAATGTTTGCCTTTGTGGTTGTGGGTTTTATTTATGAGGTGCCATTCGAGACAAAAGTCATCCCAGGCTCATACTTTACTAGTTCAGTAAATTTTCCATACTTTAATGATCAAGCTACATACTTTACTTGTTACTTTTTTAATATACTTCAGTGATCAAATTGTATAGCGTAATGATCAGTTTTCCTAACGTGCCTGAATGAGTTGCATACCTCATTAATTTAGATACGTTACTTTACAGGCCAAAATTGTAGCGTGTTTGGATGAAGCGAATAATTTAACAACCAGCCTCCTCTCAGAACCTGCACGGGAGCCCAGGAATACGTGCGAACCCAGGGTGGGATGGAATTGCAAAGGCATGGGAAATTTTGGGTCGAACCCAAAATGAAAACATGAGATTGGAGAGCATCTGGAAGCTGAACCAGCACTGCAAAACCTGGTTCGCATTTGTTTAGTCTTTTCGAAAATGTTCCCTTGTGGATTAATTTGGGCGCTTAATGATGGATTTATCCCTTTTGACCCTAACACAGCACAGAAAACTGTTCAAGGTGAATTCCCAATATTGAGGAAAAAAAAGCAGTACAGGCTCCATTTCTGTCATGGACTGAGTACCTCCTGACAGATGTGGACATAGCTTATTTTTTTGTGAAGTTGAGGTGGAAAGTATTTAGCGTCTTGGAGGACTAACTGTTAAAGAGTCTTTATGTCAAAACATACACCCTTGTGGAGTTTGATCCCAGGAGTGTGCAGCTTGTCAAGTTGTTATGGAGGCTTAGCACCTACTTGAAGGATGAGAAGACATTACAGCAAACCCTTGCCTAACAAAAGCAGCTTCCTATTCTAAAGTTAACAGGAAAGCTTCCTGCTGGGTCAATATTACAGCTCACAAATACATTCTTAAAATAATTTACATGGATATGTTATATTTCATACAATTGGTCTTTGTGCTGCTGTGACTCAGTTGAAACTTAGCGAATTTGTATTAGCATAAAAGCAGGAAAAGCGGAAATGCAGCATTTTCTAACCTATACAATGTATTCCACTGTTTTACACTTGAGAACCGTGCAATCTATTATATCTGTTAAGACTGCATTTTAATTTTAATAAGCTGCAAATATAAATATTTTAAAATACCCAACTATTTTAAAAATAACTAAAAGTAAATGTAGTCCTGCCACTAAGGACAAAGTAACAGTTGCACAACTATAAATATTAATGCTAAATTTACAGAGAATAAAATACATTTAAGCAACCTTATAAAATTTTGAATAAAGCTACACTTAGAATAAGCACTTTGGTAAAGCTATGCCTATTGGTACCTGACACGCATAGATAAACTCTCTAACCCTCTACCAAGCCTGTAACAGGTTACAAACGTCTGGAGCTGTTTATGGATCCTCCTTCATTTGAAACCTGTGGTCTCCCCTCCTCCTCCTCCGAAATTATCTGAAGCCTTACAGACTTTGACTCGGGACTTGAAGAGGCTGAGACAGATCTCTCACTGGTTTTCCAGCTCCTACTTTACGACACAAGATTTAATCACCGTATAGCTCTGTACAGATTTGTTTAGCACAACATTCTATTATCACCATGGCAATAAAGTGGTAGGCTTTTTATATGCTTTTCCATTGGGTGATGATTATTATTTTTCTCATTTTATTTGTGCTTCGAGCATATACTTTTGGAAATGAAACATAGTTACTTCTTACAACATAAGATGCAAGTTAATACTTACTTTTTTTTTGGTTTTGTTTTTTTTTTGTTTTGTTTTTTTTTTGTTTTGTTTTTTTTTTGTTTTGTTTTTTTTTTGTTTTGTTTTTTTTTTGTTTTGTTTTTTTTTTTTTTTTTAGAACTGTGTTGTATCCAGCTAGTAACCAGCTTTCACATCCTTAGCCAAGTTCAGAAATGAGCTGTAAGGCAATGTCATTTGGACTCCTGCACCCTCAGATCTACTTATTCCCAGTCCCTGCCGGGTAAGGCAGACAAAGGGGGGAGAAGCCAGAGGAAAGGGGAGGACTGTGAAATTAAAAATCGGACAGAGATGTCTTCATGTCTTTTCCTTACACCTTTTGATAAGGTTCCTGCTATTTACAAACACAGTAAGACAAAATGCCCAAGAAGGAAGAATTCAAGTTATTTAAATAGACCTAAACATTCCAAAAAAGAAGCTGTTTTTAGGGATCATTTAGCAGTTCACATGGAAATACCTAAGACCCATATGCCTTTTACTTTTAGGTATTTTACACGTGAAGAAACAAACCACATTTCTCAGAATCCCACTTATTTTGAAGCTTTCATTTCTTTTAAAAATGTGCTGCAATTGTTGAAATAAGCCCAAAATAGCCTGTATTTCTGTGCCACATGTAAATATAAATATGGAAACAAACAACAACCTGCAGTAAAAGCGACAAGGCATTATATCAAGTATCCAAATATTCCAGAAAAAGCAGTGGTTAAGACAAGAGAGTAAACAAAAATATTTGAGGGCTGACTTAAATTAAAATATTTTAAATTAAACTCAGCATATTTAATCTGCCTTTTGTTTCCCTCTCTCCCACACCCCACCCCAGTAGACAGAATCATGTTGACTGGCAAAACCAGTGCTACCATATCCAAAGGACATGGAAAGGAATCCCTTGAACACAAGGATTCCGTTTATTTTGTTCTGTAATATGAAAGTTTGATCTGTGTTACAAACTGGAAGTCTTACGGGAAAAGAAAGCATTGAGTATATAGTATGCATTGCACTGAGTCTGGTGAAAATACATGGGAAATGATTATACTGACAGAGAGGACCCATCTAACTCTTAAACTATTTGTTATGAAATGTCAAAGGTCTATATCCAGCTGTAGAAATGTCATGGATGGGATATGACGGGTTTGTGGCTTTTTCAACCAGTTGGACTCTAGGAACTGTGCTTTCAGATCTGCCTCTTTCTAACAAAATATTTTATTATAAGCTTATGTCGTTAGGGTCCCCGACCGCATAGGTGGCAGCAACTATTACCCAAAAAAATGCCTCAGAAAACAATTGAGAACTTCCTTATTTTCTCATGTAAGGGAAATAAGGAAAAGTTCTGCTTTTCCACAGCATGGTGGACAGAGTTTGGCTCTCCATGGAGAAAACTTGTTGGTTCCTGAAAATATATTAACCAACAAATGATATCCTAAAGGACTAAATGGATGATTTTTTCATGCTAAAAGTAATTTTCAAATCATACCCTCAGAAGACAAAACTGTGACCTTCTCCATTCCCAAGACACGCAGATATGAGAAGACAGATATTGTCTTCTATAAAAATTTAACGAACACTAACCTGTGCTATTGAATTTATCTATTTCTTTTTTTAATAATGCAGAGCACAGGAAGGATTTTTTTTTCCTCTTACTATGAAAAATGTAAAATGATTGTATAAATATTTCAGTATCCTGTTCAATAGTTAGCCTATGTGGCCAAAAAAGGCAATGTGGCCCCAACAAGTTTACGAATATCACAGGAGTCTCCAGAGTGTGAAAAGAGATTTCTGTCAAGAAACAGCGTCTCCCATGGTAATACATTTTTGGGGGTGCTTGTACCAGTGACATCACTAGCGATGTCTTTGTTGGAAGTCTGCATTCTTTTTAACTGCCAGACAGAGTCCAAAAATTGAGATTTCAGAAATACAGCCATTGATGACAGGGAATTTCTACCCCCATCGTCTTCCCAGCCACTGTTCCCCTCCCTTGTGTGGGCAGCAGCTCTTCCATGGCCATACTCAGCTGATCAGACTTTTGTCAGGTTGAAATTCCCTGCCCAGGGTCATTGGGCAGGAAGAGGAAAACTGGTTTTGAAGCAAGGCAGGCAGGAGGACCACATTGCTGGAGATACAGTGGTAGCAAGACCATCTTTGCAATCATAAGCCTGCCTCTAAAGCCATGAGCTTAAACTGGACCTGAAATTGCCAGTGCAGATGAGATGGCTCTATATTTCCCTGTGATAGCAGCATTTCCTTCAAGGTCTTTTTATTATTTCCCATGCATGAAAACAATCTTACTGTGGCACCAAGAATTATTTATTCTTAGAGGCTGCTGCATTTCAGTAGACTCCAACACAACAGTCTAGGGCTACTTAATATACGGCATTTTTTCGTTCAGGGCTTTCAAAATTCTAGAGAGAAGGGGTTCTTTTTATTGTTCTCGTTTTACAGGTGGGAAAACCAGGAAACTTGCTGCTCGACAGCTAGTGCACCTTATCTGTCTGTGTCAGAATCAGAAGCAGCCAAGAGTGTAAATGCAGACAGTTGCAGAGCCCCAGCTGACAGGTGCTAACTTCTGCAGCCACTGGAATGTGCTCACATCCGATCATGTGTCTTTATCCTCAGTTGCTACACGATCCTTTCATCTGATCAAACCACAACGCCTGCCTCCAGTAGCACGTTATATCTACTTATAAAAAGTCTCAGCTTAGGAAACTCAACAGAGCTATTTGAAAGACGTGATATTTACAAGGTTGGGACATAACTTACAGATGACTGGAGGAGGAAAAGGGGTTTTGGGAAGGGAGGAAGGTCCTGATAATTTGCTGTTCCCTTTTTCCTTTCCAATCCTTACCTTCACAAAACTTCTAGGATTGATTTGATACGCTTGTTTCGTGGAGTTACCAGAATACAATCAATTAAAAAGTCTGCAGTTGTCAAAAGATGCTATTTCTACATAAGCCAAGGTTATTGGTAGAGATAATTACGAGTAGAAAAGTTTGGAAGCCTCTGGGTTAAGTCCCCAGCCAGGCAGAAAAAAAAAAAAAAAAAAAAAACATAAAATAATGCAGTGACCACATGAAACTTACCTCGTACAACAAATCAAAAGATGATGCAACTATTTCTTTTATCTTAATTAGGGCCTGTTCTAAGCTGAGTGCTGCACAGAAAAAAAAAAAAAAAAAAAGACATTAAATTAGATGCAGTGACCACATGAAACTTACCTCGTACAACAAATCAAAAGATGATGCAACTATTTCTTTTATCTTAATTAGGGCCTGTTCTAAGCTGAGTGCTGCAAAGCTTGCAGGTGGTGCAGCCTGCTTTTGTCTCTGTTGGTATTTACATGCTCTGCCATCATCAATTGCTCTCAGGAAATCAAAATAAGAGAGCTTGCTGTCATGAATGCTGATTCCTAAGCAAAGGGAAAAACACAGAATGAGATATCAATGATTTTAAATAATTGTCTCACTGTTGTCTGTATTGATTAATTATTATGATGTAGTATTTGTACTGCAGCAGTGCTTCAGGACACACTTGTGCTGTCAGTGTATAAATTTTCTTAGTTGCAGCCCAAGCTCTCTCTCAGGTCTAAGCCACCAATCTTGTCATTTAAATGCAACCACGCTCTCAGATGCAGGGCCAGGCCAACCTCCAGAGGCTTAAGAGGAGACCCGTTTTAGCCTGGGCGCAAGTCCACAACCTTCCAGTACACCAGCATTAACTTTGTGCTCTTTAAACACAGCATAATATTTTGATCCCAATCTACTGCTGAGTTTACTATCCCCAGGGAAGCTGGAGGACATGTAGGCTCCCAACCTTGTCCTTGAATCTCCTTTTCAGGTCACAGTGTAAACACAGTTTGATTGACTCTGTTGAGGAGTAGATGTTCAGTGTGCTAAGTGCTGCTACTTTCCTTTGACTTTCTGCTTTACAAAAATACCTTTGACTCACAGATGCTGAAGTGCTGCTTAAGCCACCCAATATGTTGTGTTCATGACAGTTTTGAGAGAAAACAGCAGAACCACATACAGCCTGGTAAGCTGTTACCAGACACAAGCTAGGACATCCAGTGATACGTTTCGTGGATGTACCAGCACAGGTCTGTACTCACTCATGATTTATCTACCATGGGAGGAACCAGAACAGGTTCCATACGATGCTTCTCCTTATGTTTGTGATAGAAGGTCTTACCTTCCCTCTCACCCTGTACTTCACTCTGCGTGGTTTCACGGGCCACTAGAGAACTATTTTGCCAGTTCTTTGCAGGACTCAGCCTCACGGTGTCTCAGGCACTGGTCCTCCTTCCTTTGGTGTGTCCACTGAGCTACACAAAGGGCCTGCACATCTGGCCCAGCAGCTCCTGCCATGGACTTGTGGTACACTGCGTCCAGTGAGGGTTTCTCTCCAGTGGGGGTTTCTCTCCTGATCACTTGTGGTCAGGCTGTACCTAGGAGCCCAACCCACGGGCTCTGCAGGCTGTACTCAGAACTTCCCAAATTTCTGTCTGTCAGCCGAAACATCTGCTGGATCACAGACACTGGGGAATTTCATGTTCTGTCACATCGGAAATTCAGTGGGTTACAGAGCTGACTACAGATAGCTCCAGGTAACAACAGTGAATATATTTTTGCATCAAATATCAGCATGGGGAAAGATGAGCTCTTGCATATGATTTAGGGATTATTATTTTTTTTTTTCAGAAGACTTTGTTACCAAATTAAATTAATTTTTATTCAAAGATATTTTACCATAAAAAGACTGGAATTAAATCAAGCTTTACATACGCAGAAAATAGAGGAAAATAAAGTTACTTAGCATGGAAGACTAAGACAAAATGAATAGCACTAACCATTACATGAAGAGCTACTTTCTTCCAATGTCCTGTGACTTGTGATCACTTAAGGAAAAGACACTTGGTATATGTTAAACAAGGACTTCAAGACTATCTAATGAGCCTGTAGGGTTCATCACCACAAGGGTTACAACAGCAGGGGCTTGCTCTGCTCTTGCTTAGCTAGTATAAAGCCAGTGCAGTCAGATTATGGAATTTCCTACCACTGAAAGACAATCAGAGAGTCTCCAGAGTACAGTATACATTGAGTGTTTTTGTTACAGATCCAGTGGCTCCCATGGAATTATTCCAGGTTGACCTTCAGTTACCATCTATGGAGAGGATTTTAATAAAATCTAATAATTTCACAGCCAATTATCAGAACTATGGATTCTTTACACCCATGTATTAAGTAGACAATTCCTATGCTGCAGGGAAAAGGCTGGACTTTTTTTAATCTTGCATTCATCTTTTTTGTTAGAATTATGGTCAAAGCGAGCCCTAGAGAGGCAAGATTTGACAGAGGAGATGGACCCACTACACAACCCTGATTTTCTTCTTTAAGACTGAATTACTGTAACGTACTTTTATCATCTGTTTCCACAGTAAATCACTGGGGACCAATGCCTCAGCTACCAATCACCAGAATATCCAGTTACAAGAATGTCTAATTAATGGGGAGAGCCAGTAAAACAAAGAGGAAGCTTTATAAAACAGGCTGGAAAAGAAATTAACTATAGACCCCATATCTGCTAGTAAGAAAAAAAAAATATTCAAGAGCCCTGATTTTGCATCTTGCAGCTGCACAGCACTCCCACATACTACCCGTGTCAAGCTGGCTCCAATATTGGAGACAGTGTGTGGAAAAGGAAATAATCAACACCATTTCAGCAGAGAAATAAATTGCCAAGTGGGCATTAAAATTTTAGTAATAAAACTAAATGCATATGCTAATCTACTCTGTATTATTTAGAAAAGACTATTTTGGATCAAGAAAGGAATAATCTGCACAAAATTACAATGAATAGAGGTGTTTATCATCAAGAGGTCTTTGAGAAAGAAACAAGCAGCAGATTCCTATCAAGGTTTCAATTCATAAAGAGTTGATCACCTAATTAAAGGTGAACTGTGAAAAGACTTTGTTAATTTTATTTAAAAAAATAAGTCTAGTCTGGCAGGCTGTGGAGAACAAAACCCAGTGCTGCCAGGCATATGACCTTTAGGGGACTATTCAGTGCAGAGAACCCCAGGCTACCTAATGTTGGAGCAGGTTCTTTGTGTTTTTTCAGCCTCTACAGAAGAGATTTTTCTTCTTACGCATATTAGCACAGAGAATTAAAAGCATAGTTTTGCATGGCAGCAGCACTGGATCTTTGAAAGTTATTGCTATTTATTAAGATTAAGCACTGGATCTTTGAAAGTTATTGCTATTTTTTAAGATTATTTAATTCTGTTTCTATTTTGAACAGGATCTGTTTCACACAATTGCTCTATTAAATTGAAATTAAATAAGTAAAACAAACTAGCAAACAAATACACATACTTAAAGCATACCTTATTACGTAAGAAGCCATTTCACTCTCATTATCTGCAGAATTACCTAAAAAGATTTTTCACTTATATGCAGTTTTAAGCATGTTGGGATCTCCACCCGTTTTAACAGACCTTCTTATATGCTTAACATGAGGTAGGAGCTTATAGGCTTTGCTGGGTGTGACCACAGAGGTGCTTAGGAGATAACCATACAAACCTGTTTAGAAGGCTACTGATCATGGTCAATGTAATAGTTGAATTGTTGTAGTATCCTGAGTAGGTCACATACTGTTACATAGCCATCTCTATTTTTATCCATTTTATGAAAGGCCTTATTGAAATCTTGGAAGTAATCCCTAAATTTATCTCTGAAAGAGAGCAGATGTTTATTTTAGCTCCTTTGTTAAATCAGATAAAAAGGATACAAACAAATATACAAAACAGGGGTGGAGGGGCAGAGAAAAATTTTGAGCTTATTTGTGTGTGGTAAGTTCATATAATTTATTCAAAGACTGCCAAATTGTTCACAAACAAACCTCAAACCCAACATCCCCCCGTTTAATTTGCACATGGAATTGCATGGCTTGAGCCTCCCATTGTAAACAAATGCTCCTTGGGTGATTAACTGGCAACTCTCCCCATTCAGAACTGCAGCCACAAAACACAGTGCTCTCTGTTAAAGCACGTCCTGATTTCAGTTACAAAATATTTAGTACAGCTGTTAAAATGATAAGGGTTTGGCAGCACACTTTCTGCAATTTGAGGCTCCTGAAACTTTGACATAGGAAAGAAGAGCTATTTCAGCAAATTGTTAGATCTGAGCAAAACCTGGAGCAGTGCAGGGCCTGACCCATGCCCAAGGCAAGAAGAGCAGAACTTCTGCTGACTCACGTGGGCTTTGGATCAGCACCTTAAAACCTCTGTGAAGTATTTATCATTTCTTACGCATGATCAAATTCAGGCCTCAAAATCTTTACTCTTTCTCCCACTTTATTCTGTCACTTCACTGACATCAGAGTCCTTTTGATCAAACTTTGGGAACCCAAGCAATATCCCTCTCTGCTTCTCGATTCAACAAAAGCCTCTGTATTTTGGCTCAAGAGGACAAAGCAGGTACAGACACTTCAATTTACTGTGTGGTTTCAACTAGCAAAGTTGCTTAAGGTTAATGTAAGTTAAAATAGTTGTGAATTGGTCTTGATGTAGATTACAAAGTATACATTAAATTATCTACGTGTATGTGGCACTTACAAGATGATATCCTTATGGCAAAAATGACCAGTTTAGATCTGGGCTAATACCTACAGCCGTACACCATTCGCTTTTGGGATTGCTCTTTCTGATGGCTCTAGGGTTACAGAACGTGGAGGCTGAGTCTTTGCAGAGTCAGGATTTGTAGTATAAAAGGCTTATTACAGTGATAACACAGATCAACGGTGTAACCCACACATCCAAGCATGATTCGTTGCCTCAGCCTCTCACTGAGCCTGTCTGTGGGTCTAACAGCTCAGACCAGTTCTCTCTGCTCCTTGTTAAGCCACCATCAATCAGCCAGGACCTGAGCCTTACACCGTCTTCTTCATATGAACACCATTGCAATCAGTTGCTATAAGGCTAACACAGGACGTGCTAAACCTCGTATGCATTTTAGCAGAGTCTTCTCACAGCTCTCATAGATCCACTCAGAGGCATCTGGTCTCAGCTGCAGTCACTGGTGCTGTCTTTCCTCTCACGGCATTGCAGAATCCTTGGGTTTTCCACTTGTTCTCAAGAAGCTGTAAGTTCAGTACAGCTTTTACAAGAAAAATAGGTTTTCCTTGGCAATTTTTTCTCCTAAGAATCTGTCCTTTTGGACTTTGCACTTCATGTGAACCAAGAGTAATTTCTCCACAGACCTCTTGGTCCAGGTAACACTCTTGCCTATGCAAACAGCATCACCTACCTTAAAAAATCAGAATTATAATATGACTTGTGTGGGTTGTTAGCAATTTATTATATGTTTCAGACCCATCATATCTTCCACTGTTATATGGACTAATTTGGGAGCACTGGGAGTCTCTGCTTAACCAACTTTCAGCTGCCAAGAAACCCTTTTTCAATGACATGTCTCTCAAGTTCAGTGAAAGTATGGATCACTTCTCAGCTCCACAAGCTTTGCTTGAACCATCTTTTAACAGTTTTAACTCAGCTCACCATTGCATTCAGGATATCTGGATATCCTTCATTCCTTACAAATCATTTCAGGTCAGAGCTTCTGAAGAGGGCACCATTGCTAGGCAAAAATTTCTGGGACTCCATAACCAAGCAAACAGAGCATCAACATGTGCCATCACATGCTCTGTGGCTAAATTAAATCCAAATGCAATTTTAGGCTAATGCCCAAGTCAGATACTTACAACAGGTTCAGATGAATCAAGGTGTGGTCTTTTCTGTCACATTTTTCAGCTGCCTTGTGAGTGTCCTGCACTCTGTCAGGCATGTCAGATCATAATACATTGACACCACTGTGCTGTAAACCCTGAAGTGTGTGCTGCTAACCACAGAAAACTCTCATCTGAATTGGTCATGTGGGCTTGGTATGAGATGCCCTCACTATCCAACAGGTGGTAACCTTCATGACTTCCTGCATTGTGCCATCTGTACAGCCTCTCCAAACGCAGCCCACTTTCTTCTCAAATAGGATAATTCTTTTTTAATAGTATTTCCAGGTGTTATGTCACTTTTTGTGTTTTCAAGAGTAGACTCCTCAAGTGCTCTAGAAAGTATGTCTTTGATCAGTAATTATTTACCCAACTGAAGTTTCATTGTTGAATGGTTTTACCTTAAAAAAACCCCAACACTTAAAGTCGGACTATTTTTATATTCTCAAAGCTGGTCTTTCTTTTGCCTACAAAGTGATTTGTGTCAGCTCTGACCATAACAGATCAATAAACAAGTTTGTGACACTTCTTACAATCACAGAGCTGAGCCAGAGCTCTGCTCTCTCAGTTTGTGCCTTAAATTGTGGTGTTGACAAGTGCCCTAGAAACACAGGCCACACAATTCTATTGATTATTTTTTTCAATAATACCGCCTCTAAACCATCTTTTGAATACTTTTTCTTCCAGCGCCAACATGCAGAAGGCCAGGAGTTGTCTTTGTTAATGCCTTTGATTTGGTAATTCTTTTCCCAGGTTTACAGCCTAGTGGGTCCATTCTGTGTAGTAACTCAAAAACTGCCCGTGTGATGTGATGGGTAATTCTTTTCCCAGGTTTACAGCCTAGTAGGTCCATTCTGTGTAGTAACTCAAAAACTACAGACTGCCCGTGTGATGCGATCTCTCCTGTAACATTCACGTGCTAACAGGCCTCTGGACACCCCCATTATCTTTGTGGATGGCATCGTTGTAATGACTCTGTTTTATCTTGTGTCCAGTTAATCCTTTATATTATTTCTCTGCCCTTACATTTGCATTTCTGTCTAATCCTACTTCTCAGGCCCTCTTGGATCCATTTTTCAGATTCCCTACTGGTTTTCTCCCTACTCAACATCTTCAGTACCTATTTAAGTAGCCACAGTTGCTTCAAGTAAAGGGACTTTCCTGTGAAAACACAAGAATGAACTTTAAGCCTAGAGGAAGTCTTTGAAAGCAGAATCTCCTGTACTGTGGTGTAAAACATGCACAGCGTTAAACTCATGTCATGCAAAGGAGTTTCTTTGGATTCAGCAGAAGAATCTGAACTTGCGATTTGTGTAAAGATTTATTAACATTTGAAAAAACATATGCAGTCCTTCTACCTGGAAATGTCTTGTATAGGACAGTGTCTGTCAAGAAACATATACTTAGCTGCATTGGATGTAAGGACAATCTCAGCAACTTGCCTTTTGATCTTCCTGTTGCTAACTGCCTTTTCCACTTTAAAACTTCCCATCATTTCTCCTACGTGATCTAGCTCCTTTACAGGCTTCTCTTCCACGACCAAAGGATTGTTCCTACCAGCACACATTGCTGTGAAAATACAGCTTTATATTCTGGATCTACTTTAACACAAAAGATTTCTGGGTACTCTTCTGTGTTTATGGTTCCTACCTCAGACTCATTGCTTTAACCAAGCCCAGGGCTAGGCATATATTGGACAAAATATTAGCTCTTTCTGCCTATAAACTTAAACTACTGTTTTTATCTTCAATTTTCAATTGAAGTTCATACAATCCTTTAGTAGGAATTAGATTCTCAGTAGACACCCTCAGTTTCAATAGTCTTTCTTTGTATGTAGAGATTCCTCAGCCAAATTTTTTACAGTATGCCTGCAGGTAACATTGAGCACCAGCTTTTAGCTTATATGGAAGGTATTTTCTTTTGTTTCTGCTTTTCCAGTTGCAAGGTCTTGCAAAATAGCTGTATTTCCTATAGCTGCTGCAAAATTTCTAAGTTTCTGGACATAATGTGAGTCTTCATATATTTCACTTTTGCTACTACTTGCAGATAGTTCTGAAAAGTTTCTTCAAAACTGTCTTCTAGTTTCCTTTCCTGATAGACAACATGTCCTGCTCCTCTTCTGATATTTTCATACTGTGATTATGCTTGTCCTAGATAGACTAAACACATTTTCCTATTTTTTTTTTCAGATCCTACTTTTCTGGGATCTTTATTGTATCTTTGGATCTTTGATTCCAATCACTATATGATCCCTTAAAATGGAATCTCTCAAAACGTCATAGCTGCTTGACTGACCCTTTATTTTAAGATCAGCCAAAAATTCTTCAAAGGTTTCCTTCTTCTGCATTCTCATATGAAACCTGCGTCTTTCAAAAGCTCAAGCTTCCTTGGGAGTGCAATATTCCTTCAACTTTCTCTCTGTAGCTGCATGGATTGCCCTCTCACCCTGGCTTGGTCTCATGCCATTAAAAACTTTGATAGCTCCTACTCCTGTAATATTCCAGAAAAGAGTTGTGAGCTTCCTTATGATTAATCTAGCCACTGTATATAGCTTTCAAACACGATGTGAAACTTTTCAAAGACACTGCAATATTGCCAATGTGTTTCAGAGTATCTAAAATCCCCTAAAGAGCTATTACCTTTTCTCTCACTTTCAAATCTCATTTTTCTAGTTAATTCCCTCCTCTTTTTCACATTCTGCTTCTGTTACCATGTGGTACTTGGTTTACACTCAAAGCAAAACTTGTATTGGAAAGAGCATAGAAGTGTGCTGCAGAGGGTGCACGTCGGTCAGAGAGCTCTTGCATTGCACTCAAGTTGGCTTTACTCACTTGAATCTCCATGATTCTAATTACCGACTAACCAGCTCAGACTCCTTCAACCTCCTCTTAGATACGAGACCCTAGAGATCCAAAATCTGCTAATTACATCTCTGGGTTTTAACTTGT